GCGATCAATTAAAATGAATTTTTTCGGTGATGTATAAATACTTTAATCATTCAAAAAACCAAACCGAATATTTAATGGTTATCGGTTTGATTGAAAAAATCGCAATTTTTTTTTTTTCAGTTTACTCCCTCAACGTAGTCAAGACGGAAGGGATAAGTATAATAACAACTTTCTCAGTTATTTCCACAGTGACTGCCTCGTTTAATCTGACTCGTGGAGACGTTTTATGCATTAGCCGGTTTTCAACCACTGAAGTGCTATTTCTAGGAGTATCGTTCTAATAGTTATACCGTCTTAGTCGCTTGTGTAATGTGGTTGTCAAGAACTGCGTCAAATTTTCTCAGTCCTATATAACTTGCAGGCTAACATGCTACAGAACATGAAAAACCAACAATCGTTTGCACAGTAATATATATCTACAGTAAAATAGAATGTAAACTTGTTCATTGCATGTATGTATCAATTTTAGACTCAAATCAGTGCAATTAAAATATCGAAAATGTACACGTCGTGTTTGTTTTGTTTTCAATTAATTTTGTGACTTGCAATATCAGCGCGTCTTGTGATTCGGTCAGGTGATGACCTCTGACCCCAAATAAGTTCATGCAGAATTGAACATGTTGGCCTTTCATCTCATGAATTTTTTTGCAAATGTAAATATTACAGGTTAAATGGCCAATATCACAATCTCTTCCAATTTTTACTAATTGCTTTTGCCAGAATGCCAATTAGAATGCATTTTTATTATAATTATTATTATTATTTTTAACTTAGTTGCATTTAGTTCCATTTTGTTACATTTAATTGCATTTGAATTTTTCAATCTTTAACTTCGTGAATTACAAATAAATATCAATAATATTTGAATTTCTTTCGTTCTTTTATTTTGTGAATAAATATGAATTACAAATAAATATCAAAAATACAAAAAATTAAACTAATAAAGAAGTGCTGTTACAAAAACAAAATCAACGATAACAAAATGAATACGTTTTCACCGTTAGAAAAATACAATAGTTGATTATTGTTTATTTAAGTTAACTATAGTTGACATAGTAAAAAATTTGATATTTTGATTAACTCTCACACTTTACTTTAAAACTTTTTGAAATTATTTCTTAAGTTACATGTATATACCATTGGTTTTATTATTTTTTTTGTTTTAATATGTGAATATACAAGTAGCATTTCTTTTTAATATAAGAATATTGCTTTTTGGTACTTACAATAAAAAAATGTCACCAACTGAAACTCATATTAAAAATACTTTGATTAAAGTAATTAAAAACTTTAATTTACAATAGATACTTTAATAAACTTTATTATACTTTCATGTTAAATACTAAAATCTGATTGGTTTAGACGCATTTCACAATCCGTAATGTTACCCTCAGCGTTAGCAACACACTTGACAACGGGCAACATTACGAAAATGTCACATGCGTTCAAATCATAAGCGTACGGTTCACCGTAGAATTCTCGAAACGTCAATTGTGCGTTTAACGAGGTTCGCTCCTGAGCTTTTGAGCAGATTTTTATTTTAACCTATATTTAAAAAAATCTGCGTAATGTTTTAATTCTTACAATAAATTTGGATTCTACAATGCCAAATAAACTATATTCAGTTAAAATTCCATGATTAAATTCCGTACCAAAAGCATTAAGTGAGGAACTATATTTTGTGGCGGAAGGTTTTTTAGAAGAAAATGATCATTTTTTCTCTTTCGAAGTATTTGAAGTATGTTAAGTTTGGATTCCTATTTTTACATGCAGTCTGCACAGAATTATTTTGAGCAGTGAACTGTTTTATACTGGTCCTAAATTATATATTTAATAAACTGTCATGAATTCAATCATCATATTTGATAAATAAATCAAATATATTGTGAAAATCAAGAGAAAAAATAGCCCTAATTTAAGCTCAAAATTAGCACTATTTTAGTAATATCTAAAAATTAACATCACAGACCCCCACTTTTAACTTTCTTTTCTCAATATACAAGATACTTTTAATCATTCTTCTTAAATTCAGTGAAATGACATTACTTTTAAATGAGTTTTTTTCTTGTTAAATTTGTAATGCTAGCAAAATGAAATTTTTTGAGTGCAAAAAGGTCAAAAAATGGAACGTGCGGAGTACTTTAAAAAATTTTTTCGTTGTCAAAAATTTTAATGGGTCTATTCAAGATGAAATAAAACTGTGTTTGTTCCCATAACTTATTTGAATAAAAAATATCGGAGGAAAAACTTAAAAAATTGATTTATGTGTAAGACGTTTTTACAGTGCAAAAAGGTCAAACTAAGTGCTCTGTAGCGCCAAAAGAAGCGCATTGACCCCCATTTTTTGTTTTGGTTTTTAATTAAGCTATGTGTATAAATTCTAAAAATATACTTGATAAAAAATCCTCATTACTTTTGATGTCAGGATCCAACCTCCTTAAAGGCGAATAAACGACGTCAATAAAAGCTTGCGTCCGATGTAGCTTACTTGAAAACAACAAACGACAGACGATCGAACATCCTTGCAAGTGCAAACTTTAGATGATAAAGGACTTTTTGAGTACCAAACAATAATGAGGTTGGTAAATCTTTTCCGAAGCTTTCTTACTGAGAAATATAGAAGCGGGGAGTTTGAAAGCTTTCTAAGCGTGAACTTAACGACGATCTCCGAATTTTTTTTATGACATCCAAAATCAATATGACATTCAGTATAATAAATTAAATACTGCACGTTTTTTAGGGTAACAGTTGAAATTGACACCCCAAGGAAAACCATTGTTTTCCGAGGGGTGTCAATTTCAACTATTACCCTAAAAAAAAACGTGCACTATTTATATAATAGTTAACTTTTTGTTAGATCTTCATGGAAGACCTTATAGCGATTTTACTGTGTAAGAGGGCGAAGTATATTTAACATCGGGTTCGAGATTCACATTTACATTTTTTTTTTATAAAAGTTACAGATTTGGAAAAGAAAAAGTATTTTTATGTTATATCGTAATCTTATTTGAATAACTGTAATAATATTAGTATTTGGCTGTAAGTAATTTTTATAATTAATTTTTTACACTTGTGAATCTGTCCATTGATTGGTCAATTTACGGTATAGGCAGTAGGCCATCTTTTGGCGGCATTTTCACCGTAGATGTTGACAAGGGAAGACGTGTTGTACTAGCGCCTTTTGTCTGATAGATTCCTCTTGTATGATGACGTCACAGTGACCGGAAGCCATGTTACTGCATTCCTTACTTAGGTTTGATAACTGTGTACATTATTATTACATTATTTATACTTCATTTCATTTGTACTATGATACTATGTTGTATGATAAAGTGTAATAACTAGAGGTCATAAATATTTTTCTTTATGAAATGTCAAAGAGTAAATGTATGACTATCACTTTCAATTGTATATATTGTTTATTTTAGGACCACTGTCAAAATTGAACAATCAACTTAAGAATAAAAGAACTAAAATAACACAAGGACCATCTAATTATTCTTTTGTGTTACACTGTTTCTTATTTTTTCGAAAACTATTCATTAGTGTTTCTTCAAACTTTCAGAAATAATGCGCTATTACATGGAATTGTTAATTTTGCAAGAGCTTTGGGAAAATTCTTTTTTGGTTCCAAGTTACGGACAATTTAAGAAACATTGGATTGAAAATCTTGTTCGCAGTTGAATTTCAATCCACGTGGCTCATCTCTTACCCAAAAAAGTTTTCATAAAAGATTCATAATATTATTTTAGTTTCTTTATAATTTAGAATTATGCAAATAAGGCGTTTCTTTTAATTTTTTTAAAAATAGTAATGTATGTCTTTCCGGGGGCAATATGATTATTAAGGACAGGGGGATCAGTCAGATTTTGGAAGTGGATAATCTGTCTTTGAAAATATAAATACCTCCAAAGGCAACAAAATAATTAAAATCTGACATTGAATTATGGGAATTTATTAGTGCATGTAAGGAATTCCAATTCTTTACTACGAAGATGAAAGATCGAGTTCATGAGTTTTTACAGTCCCCCCTCTTTGTTTTGCTTGTAGAACAAAAAATATTTATCTGGTCATCTAAGAACAAATCTGCCTGCAAAGGATAGAAAAAAAAAAATCTGAGTTAATATTTGCAACCTCCACCCCTGTCATGATAAAATGGTCATCTCCAATAGACATCTACATCTACTTACATAATTATATTTGCGTGTATCAATCTAAAATCATTAATCTAAAATCATTAGATAAAAAAGTATGAAATTATTTGTCTATCATTTACATCATGCATATACAAAAAAAAACTGAGGCGGACTAAAAAACTTTGGACAATAATTGAGTTCCAAAATTTTCTCAGGTGTCTGCGTTGAATGCTAGCCGCCACTTTCGTTATGATATATTCCTTTATATTCATTTCTTTAGAGTTCGTTTTTTTCTTGTGTGTCTCTATTAGTAGCACATATCAGTGTAAGTTTTCTTACATACAATAATATATATAAGGATGGCGAATCGGACGGAAACCTCTCGTTGCTCGGAACTAGATCACATCTACTTAACATTATTATTATTTCAAATTTTGAATTTAATTATAATCGCCTTATGTAAATAACTTTTGGATTTTATTTTTTCATTAATGAACATTTTAAGACAATAAAGGAATTGTAATAACTTATGAATGCTTTGACATTATAAATGTTTTCTTTTTTTCAATGCTTAATCTAAACAGTATGGTAATTTACAGATAAGATTGAATCCAAATAAAACTTTAAATAATTTTTGATAAGAAGTGAAGAAGTTTTTTGTATCTTTGATACACATGTATAAAGTACCCGTATATCTAGTTTTATTTAAGCGTATCACAAAAGATTGAATTTTCATTCTCTCATCATCAAAAAAAAAAAAATTGTAGCATTTCATGCAAATTGTGCAGCATTTTGTTCGAACTGTGTGGCAGCATTTTACATACATACAACATTCGACTTTGGCAATGCTACTTGTCAGGGTATTCAGTAATCACCAAATAAGTCCTCAGGGCTGAAAAAAGCCAAAAAATAATTATCATGGTTACAACATTCTCTTTCTGTACTGATTTTGAAAATTTTCATGAAACAAAGTGATTTTTTAATCAAATGGATTTGTAATATTATAAGCAATGTGATGTTCCAGTACAAGCTCAACTGAGAAAAAGGTGAAATAACAAGCAGTAATTGATTTTAAAATTCTATAGCTAATACATAAAACAATTTGAATTTGTGAATAATATGTAAGCACATTTATACCATCCACTTGTTTTGTCCACTTCAAATATCATGTTAAGTCGAATAAGGAATAAAGGGGTCAAACACGATCCCATGGAAACTCTAGAGGTGGGATCAGAACTTGGTTCGTATTGAAAGTTAAAAAATAACTTCTAATCTAAAGAACCGGGACTGGAGGGGACTGGGGGCTTTTGAGATGCCTACAGCATTTATTGTTTAAAATTCAAATTCTTTTTAGTGAATTTGATCTATTTATAAATAATTTTTTAGCTATCACTAATAAGCAATAAATTATGCCAAACAATGCTTTTTGGGATAAAAGTATTTTGGCTAATCATATTTCATGTAAAAAAAAAAATTAATAATGCATTGATAGTATTTTGTGTTTAGTTTTCACAAGAATTTGGAACATATGCCTTCAATAAAATTCGGGCGAAGACCAATTTATTTAAGGAAAAGATGTGTTTTTGTAAATCGAAATGTTCATTTTTGCCATTGTTTGTGTCTGCAAACAACTTTATAGACGAATCTCAATATTTGAAGTTGCGGAATAAGGAGTTGATCCATATGTTGAGGGTGCGAATCCTACTGCAGGACATGGAGACCAGTCCTTCGAATGAGACCGTTTAAATTGAGGTCCCGTGTCGCAGTAGCTGTTGGCACAAAAAAGATCCCTCACTGTTTTATGGCTTTCAGTGGCGAGTAAAAGTATGAATTTGCAGCACTACACTGGCAAGTGGTGGCGTCTCAATTTGAGTGAAAAATTCTCCAAGAGACGTTAACGTTAAACAAACAAGATTTGAAATTTACATACAACAAGAATAAATTATGTAAACCAAAACATTAAATAAGATTTTATGATAATGAGAAAAAACTTTCACTTCCCTATTTGTCAAACGATCAGAAACTTTCTTCGCTTATTTGCCAGTGCGTTTCATACACATTAAAATATTTAGGGTGACTAGTTGTAGTTGTAGCTCCGTGATAACTGCCTATTGTTAAACACATTAACACTAGCGAATTTCTGGGAGACTTGCCCTGCCACAAGCCCAATCTAAGTTAAGGAGGCTGGGGGGGGGGGTCAACAAATTAACCATCAGATATAACTTAATTTTCTAGATATGATATCTTAAGCTGTCAACTATCATTTGGCAAACAAAAATTTCATACATTTTAGTTTTAAAATTTGATCATTTTTGTATATCTTTATATGGAGCTCTTCTTCTAAAGGAGATCAATATAGTCTGAAAAATGGCCCCAACCACTCAGCCCTCTTAATAGAGAAAGATCCGAGATTACATAGTTAACATAGCTTTGCATAACTGTGCTTAATTAAGAAAAAGTTTTAGAAGCTACTACATTGCTTATGACTCAGTAAACCATATCTTGGAATGATGTCATTTAAAGTACTAATGAGTGGCAACTTATTGCAAGCACCTCTCACAAAACAATTACATTTACCTACCGAGAATACAATAATTCCTATTCCAAGCGTATTGCACATACAAATGATATATAGGTACTTAAACATTATGTGTCGAGCGAAATATAGTGCAAATAGTTAGTTAGACAGGCCAAGTTAATATGAGTTAAATAATATCATTGTAATTATAATTGTCTTAAAACACTGAAGAGTTAGTACTATAGACCAAATATATAAACAAGGTACCTTTTAACATCTACGACCACTTCCTCCTCCTTCGGACTTTCACAATCTTCAAATTTCATGAAAGATTTCAGTTTTGTTGGAATTGGTAAATCTTCAATTAGGGGCAAAATACTATGACCATGAGAAGAAAGCTGTTTTCGAATTTCACTTCTACAAAGGTTTTGTAGAGTTATTGGTTCTTTCTCAATTTCGTTTAATACGGCTACAAGAGATTTTCTGTTTTCATCTGTAATTTGAGGTATATACCAGGTTTCATCGACCATAAAACCACAGCTAAAATTTTCATCATTTTCTAAATTTTTTATCCATTTCTTATCCATATCTACTTTCCACCCAGAGCGCATCAAAAATTTTATGGAGTCAAATAATCCATAAAATGCAAGATAACGAAGACATTTCAAGGGAGAAGTTCTGAAACAAAAGATTTTTTTATAAACATAGGATAACGTTTAATTTGTAGGTTTTAATAATAATAATAATAATAAAAATAAAAATAATTTCGAATGTACCAAGGAATCAAGCTGAATAAATTAAAAAATAAGTTCATGTTGACGCCATGCCAATTATTAGTCCCCTACCGGTGAAACCGGAGGGGACTATAGGTTTCCTCTGAGTCTGTCCGTCCGTCTGTCTGTCCCTCTGTCTGTCTGTCAGTCTGTCCCACTTGGTTTTCCGTACTTTTTTCTAAACGCTTGCAGATATTGAGCTGATTTTTGGTATGTGAGTGTATCTTGATGAGTTACAGATCAAGTTTGCATTTCGTTCCGCTTCAATGATTTTTTTATGGAATAACGATTTTTTCAGGGTTTTCCGCAATTTTTTTTCTAAACGCCCGCAGATATTGAGCTGATTTTTGGCATGTGACTTAACCTTGATGAGTTATAGATCAAGTTCGCATTTCGTCCCGCTTCATTGATTTTTGAAGGAATTATGGCATTTTCAATTTTTAGCGGGAACCAGATTATACTTGCCGGTAGGGGACTAGTATTACTAATGCAATACTCTCAGAATGCTGGTTTCAATATATAAAAAAAATAAATAGAGTAATAATGATTTTATCTTTTATGCAGAGTCGAAAAAAAATATTTCAAAGTTTTGAATTATGAAAAGTCAAATGCAAAGGTCAAGTTCACAAAATTCTCCTTTAAATGGGATTTATGTCTCCCAATTGATTCGATAATATGCAATAGCATGCTCTACATTTTCTAAAATGAGGCAAGCTACATGTATTGACAAACAAATTGATGAAACAAGAATATGAACAGTTTCGTTTAAAGTCATTTCGCAAGCTCTGTGGTAATAAGTAATGACCGATATATGTAAGATTAAATTATCATCCATTTCTGTCCTAACTTAAAAAATTAAGTCAATGAAATTCCAAGGTAAGAATGCTAGAAACCTACCTAGAAAAGTATTTAAAAATATATACAATATCGAAGATTGACTTCCAGGGTTAAGAGGTGTGAAAAAATTATTTTCTTTATAAATTTAATGTCATGGTGACAAGGTCCACAAGCAAGATGCCTACTTAAAAACACAAAATATCGAAAATTCGACGTCCCACGATACTAATAATACAGACCAAAAATTCTTTAAAAAAAGTCAGTAGTCGGGTTCGAGGTCACAAAATAGAGATCTAGTCTAGTACTTTGTGAAGGATATTAAACAAGCAATATTTCTTGAATATAAAAGCCATACCTTTTATCAATCAAAAATAAGACATTAAATGACATAAAATTAATCTTTTTAAATGTAGGTACCTTGTAAAGTTCAACGTCAGAAAGGCCATTGCTCTTTATATTTCAAAGCTATTGAAAACAAGGTTTAAGTTTCTCAAATGCAAGTCAAACTCCAAGGTCAAGAGATCAAAATTGTTGTTACCCAAAGAAAGAACTTGTGTCAATTTGTGTCAATGGACATAACTAGTAAATATAAAAGCACAAGCACCAACCATTCAAAAATTATGGTCAAGGTTAATGTTTTCTAAAAGTGGGTCAAACTCTAAAGTCAAGGTCAAAGGGTCAAAATTAATCGTACACAGGGGAAGACATTATCATAAGCAATATACATGCAAAATATAAAAGCCTTAGCACCAACTTTTCAAAAGTTATGGCGAAGGTTAAAATTTTTCAAAATTAGGTCAAACTCCGAGGTCAAGGTCAAAATTGTTGGTATCCAAAGAATGCTCTTGTCACAAGGAATATACTTGTGAAATTTGAAAGCTCTAATACTAACTGTTCAAAAGTTATGGCCAAGATTAAAGTTTTTTAGAATAGGTCAAACTCATGTCAAGGTCAAAAGGTAAAAAATATTTACACTCTTGAAAAGGTTTGTCACTATGAATACACATGTGAAATATGAAAGCCCTAGCACCACCGGTTCAAAAATCATGGAAAAGGTTAAAATGGGTAATTTTTTGCAAAAGTTGGTCAAACTCCAAGGTAAAGAGGTCAAATATGTTGGAACCCAAAGGAAGGTCTTGTTACAGGGAATATACACATGTAATATATGAAAGCCATAGCTTCAACCAATCGAAATTTATTGGCAATGTTAAAGTTTTTGCGGACAAACAGACAGACGGATGGACAAGGCCGAATTTTCGATAACGAGGGCATAAAAATACAATATAGAAAATAATTTGATAAACGAATTGATTCAAATTATTTTTAACGCGATCTTTCGATGAATCTAAAATGTGTGAGATATAGGTACACCGGTTACTAACTGAAAATGAAATGTACACTCCAATTTCTGCTTCAAACGAAATTTTTAAATACATGTACTAAAGAAAAGAAGCATGTTTCCTTAATTTTACAAATACCACGAACTACTTTTTAACTTTGCCAACGTTGCGCGGACAGCTATTGTGCCTCATAGAGATTTGTTCTCAAAAATTTTAAAAACAATTTTTAAAATGCTTATTATGTCAATTTTCAACTTTATGACATTAGTGAAGCGATTAGAGAAAGTTGGCAATCGTTGTAAATTGTACTTTGTAACAAGCAAGAAAGATTTTGCAACTCTCCAATGACTTTAGGCTAGAGGACCTGGTAAAAAAAAAATAATTCTTCTATAATGTTCTTTTTCTCCAGGAAATCTATAAGCCTGGTTATGAAAAAAAGTTTTGCTCATTTAGAGGTTTTTTTGCCAACTTTGTTGTGTCTGCATTTAAGGACATATGCAACGTAGTTTGAACTTTATTGTCTTTTTCCCTGGAGTTGAAGAGTTCCAATACTTGAAGGAACTGTGTGTTACATTTTAATGTCATTTTAATGTCTATATATGATGTTGTACACTTCTTCTAAATCAAGTTTAGATAAACAAAACATCTAGAATATATGTTTAGTAATTTTTGTATATTTTTCTTTGAATTATAAATAATAATAAATAAATGAATTATAAATAATAACTATGATTAAGAATATCTTGAAAAAGTATCAGTAGGTAAGGTACGTTGCGTATGTCCTTAAGTTTCAAAAAAAAAAAAAAAAAAAAAAAAAAAAAAAAAAAAAAAAACTAGATGTGTCGTTACGCCACGAATGCCCCCGCAGGCAGCCAAAATTTCAAATTGCAAATTGTAAATTGCATATTTGTTGCCAAGATAATAAGAAATTGTGAGTTTTTAAGTCTTTTCCAAGTTCAAGGGGGATAACTGTAAAATATCATCGGACCAGGACCAAATTCGAACTTGATCTGTATTTTCTGGTAATATAGCTACATATGCAATTCCAACCTTAAACATACATCCCTACAAAAGAAAGAGAGCGGAAACTGAATTTTTATTTTTTTAAGTTCAAGAATCATCGGACCACGACTGAATTGAAATTTGACCTGTATTTTCTAGGAAAATACCTGCACATGCAATTTCAACATTATACACACATCCCTACAAATGTTGGAGAGCGGAAACTGAAATTTTCTTATATTTTCTAAGTTCAAGAGGGATAACTCTGTCAAAAATCATTGTACCACGACCAAATTCAAACTTGACCTATATTTTCTAATAAAATACCAGGATATGCAATGTCAACCTTATACATACTTCCCTACGAAAGTACAGAATGACGGAACAGGGTAACACTATATGCCCCCGGCCATTTTAATGGCAGGGGTCAAAAAATATCACTATTATGAAGTTCCTGAGTTCTGGATATAGGATTCTGGAACTATGTCTGACTTTTCACATTAATACTGAAATTGCTTTATAGATATAATTTTTTTTCAATATTCTACACAGGGCATGCAAATAGATTTTAATGCTGATGAATCTTAAGTTAGGATTGTAGATTATAAATTAGATTAGAGTTCAGAACAATAATTTGGACATATAAGGAAAGCAATCTCTTATCTAAAATATTTTCTTTACATCTAAATGATAAATTCTTGTATGACTGTCATTCTTAAGCAGAAATACTGATGAAATTCACGACTCCTTTAGTCCAAGGATCGGACTCTAGGATGAATAATCCTATTTTGAATTGGGTTTTTGATAAATATATATATATATATATATATATATATATATATATATATATATATATATATATATATATATATATATATATATATATATATATATATATATATATATATGTTTCATTCCTGATTACTAAAAGACAAAATACTTTCATGATTGTCGTGAGCTATTTAAACCTTGTCTCATGGGTAAATGTACTACAGCTAAAAAATTAAAAAAAGAAATACCAATTGTTCAATAATAAAACAATATGCGTTTGTGTAACACTGATGCCCCCGTATGGCAGCCTATGGCGAAGGTTAAAGTTTCTCAAATGCAAGTAAAACTCCAAGGTCAAGAGATCAAAAATGTTGTTTTCGTAAGAAAAGACTTGTATCTATGAATATACCTGTGAAATATGAAAGCCCAAGAACCAACCGTTCAAAAGTTAGCCGGGGTTAAAGATTTGAATATGGTCAAACTCCAAGGTCAAGGTCAAAGGATACAAATCAATGATACCCAGGGAAAGGAGAAGAAATATCCATGTGAAATATAAAAGCCTTAGCACCAACTGCACAAGAAGTTTTGGCCAAGGTTAAAGATTTAAAAAAAAAAGAGGATAAACCCCGAGGTCAATGTCAAAATTGTTGGTATCAAAAGGAAGGTCTTTTCACAAGAAATACACCTGTGAAATATGAAAGCACTAGTACTTATTGTTCAAAATTTAAGGCCAAGGTTAAAGTTTTTGAAAGTGGGTCAAACTCTAAAGTCAAGGTAAAAAATATTTACACCGAAGGAAAGGTCTTGTAATCATAAATACACGTGAAGTATGAAAGCCCTGGCACCAACTGTACAAAAGTTACGGTCAGGGTTAAAATTACATAATCTTTTTTGCAAAAGTGGGTCATACTCCAAGGTCAAGAGGTCAAATATATTCATTCCCAAAGAAAGGTCTTATCACAAGAAATACACATGTGAAATATTAAAGCCATAGCTCCAACCAATAAAAAAAATAAGGACAAGGCTATAGTTTTGTTGTTGTTGTTGTTGTTGTTGTTTTTTGCGTACAAACATATTAAAAGCTAAACAGACAGAGAGACAGACAAGGCGAAGACTATATATCCCCGAATCTTCAATTACGGAGGCATAAAACTTGGCAAAAGAATGTTATACGATTAAACAAGTTGGTATTGACAGGGAAAAGGCTATCCGAAGAAAAAAGGTGGAATTTTTCGTGAGAAAAAAGTTTAACTAAGAAAACCAATAGTAAACTGACCACAAAATAACAGAGATAAAGTGCAAACGGCTTGTCTTTTCCTGCTGAGAAAATTTAAGAATAAATCTTAATCTTTCATCATGCTGCCGTGATCAAGAAAACATGAATTTGAGTATCGGTTTTTCCAATAGTTAAAAGGACTAGCTTGGTGACATCCTACGTAGCCAGACCTAGTGTTTCTTTTGCCACTAGCTGGTGGACTACTACTGCTATTGTCAAAGGCTTTTCATGCTTAAGATGGTTATGTCGAAATTACTCACTTTACTGTCATGGTCCATGAATCTCTTGTTCAAACAATCTAAATGATGTTAGTTTAAGACCATCTTATCATTGATAAAAGGAATACCTTTATCATTTCCAATAGGATGCTCCTAAAGTATGAATAAAATTTATATTTCATTACCCTGGCTCTTCATTCACTAAATTTGCCCCAGCGATGAAAAGTTGAAAAACACCATTCACGCCAAATGTGAGAATGTGTTGATCCATATTTGTGCATGTTTCATTACGAACGTATTGCCGAAGGCTAGTTATTCCTAGAACAAAAATGTGTTCGAAGACATTCCTTTTGCTTAATTTTACTGGATATTTAAGGAGAGTTCTTAAACATCTGAATTCTCTGTCAGTCATACCTACAATAAAATGCACATTAATTTATTTTTGAAATCTTAAAATTGTATTGTTCAATTTTGAACATGTACTTGATCTCAAACACATAGGACCTAGGTGCATTACCAGTATAATTTCCGCCGACCACCCAAAACCTTCGAAAAAACGAGGCAGAATTACTTTCTTTAATCACTATCATTTCGAAAACCGTGCTTGACTACTATTTATTATATATTACCTAATTCACACGCATAATCCAACGGTGTTTTACCACCACGGTCAGCAAAGTTGAAATCGGCACCATATCTGATTAGTTCTTCCGACAATTCGTATAGATTTCGTTGAATAGAAACTGAAAGGGCTGATTGTCCCTTCGTTGACTTTTCATTTGGATCAGCACCAGACTCTAGCAATCTTTTTCCTAACTTAAGCCACACTTCATCATTTGAAGCTACCATAATCATGCTCAATAAGTAGTTACCGGTCTTAGCTCCAAGGTCCAGAAGATGATGAGCAGCTTCGCAAGTAGAACCTTTTGATATCTCAACTGTTAATTCCAATGAAAATTTATTTTACAAAATTGTATATTTGTTCAAAAAATCAGCATCTTGATACAGTAAATGTTCAGATATAACCATAGCTATTAAGCTTTTACTGGTACAAAATTGTGAAATATAAGGAGAATTCTTTGGCAACTTTGATCATAAGATATGATCCTGATCAGAGGTGATTTAAACAACATCAAGGTCACAGAATTTGAAAAGTATCTTAGAAAATGTAAAATTATAAGACAGATCTTTTTTCCTGGAGTATCAAGAGCATATACTTGGCATAAAGAAAAAAGTGATTAAAGGTTATATCATAAAACTATGCCGATAGATGTGTGCAAAAATCAATGTTTCGACTAAGAAACTAAATCTTCTATGGAACATAGAATTTTGAAGGTAAGACAGTAGGTGAATTATCGTAATAAATAAAACCGTTAATCTCGACAAGACTTTAAACAGACTTCATCTACAAGATTCAGATCATAGGAAGTATGCAATTAGTAGTATGCAATTTTACTAAGATAGTAAAGTTCCCTTTAAGCTATTCTAAAGTGAACTTTTTTCTAATTGCCTCTTAGGAGAATTAGACCTGCATATATCAAGACAGCTCTACATATTAAAAGTGCATGCTTTTACAGACAATGTTTACTAATTAATATTTATAAAGGAAGGAGGAAAGTAGACCGGCCGAAAACAACGTGGAGAAGAACAACGGAACAAGAACGATTATCACTGGGTTGGAATAGCTGGCCATCAGCAAGAAGAAACAGCCAAAAACAGAAGCAGGTGTAGGTTGTGTATTGGGGCATTATGTGCCAGCGGGCAAGGGGAGGTTAGGTGAGGTGAGGTGAATATTTAAAAAGCAAAGGTAAAAATCTGTAACATAAAAAAACTTTCAAAAAGCCAATAAAATAATTAAAGATAAAATAACACATACATGTAAAATCAATTCAGCGATTGATTTAAAAACATTCTGAAAAGATTAATGCATATTCACCCTTTTCATCAACCAATAAAATATTTATATCAGATATAAAATGAATTCTTTTTTAATATTTTTAAATTTTGTTTTGTAAAGACAGAAATGAATTGAAATATATTTTACCTTGCTTTAAAATGTTTATGAGCTCTTTCAATCCATTCCAGTCAATTCTAGCGCCTTTGGTATAAGAATGGAATTTTTTCTCCAATAAGAGTCTCCTATATTTCATTATATTTTTACTTGTAAAGATGAACTCCAACGTAGAAAAGTCATATAGTTTTTCAATATCTTCTACTTGGACGCCTGCATCCAAGACACCATAGAACTGATCTGTGAATTAAAACCACCTTGAGTTTTAGGTTACTCAATTAAGCTTAAGCGCGATGCTATGCAATAATGAATCTGAATACCACTTGTAAATTCGTTTGCCTGTTCGGAATTTTCAGTCATGGAAAATTCATTTTTTTTGGTAATCTTTCCCATGTTCTCTTTGTTTCATAGTCCTATTTATATACCAATTCAAAGTGTAGAAAATAATATTTAGCAATTAAAGATTTCAGAAGAATATTACTAAACGACAAATGAAGAAGCTACAAATTGATTTGTCAAACATAACTACTTAAAAAGAAAATATACTCCTCCATGGCACCTGATCCCACCTCTGATATTTTAGAGGTCCGTGTTTGCTCTGCTCCAAAATTTGTATTGTTTAATGGACTTTTGAGCTTGAATACTGTTCGTTATCTCCATATATTCCATTACCTTGCGATTGTTTTTAACTGCAAAATATAAAAATCTTTAACAGACTACATGTATATCATTTGACTTTTTTGTAATCTTTTCCCAGTACATAAGAAGATATCCTTAATTTTTATTGGAGAGAGTTTCTGTCAAAATAATGCTGACACTTGAGTACTATGCAATCACTTCCTAAATTTTCTTTCTTCATAAATCTTTGAATTTGCTGTTAAAGGCTGAATCACACCCTCTTTAAAACTAAGACTGTTGCATCAACCGTGGAAAAAGCTTAAGAAAGCTGTCAGATGGAGTCTAAAATTCAACTTTTTAGATATTTTGGCGGATTACTAGTATCTAAAACTTGATGAAGTGCAATATTTATCAAGACAATTTGACTAAGTTAATACTAGTAATATTTTCCCTCCTGTTCAAGGAATAATACAAAATTTAAATAAATAAAGAAATGTTGATTTTTAAATTAACATTATTCCGGTGTCTCACTGTTTGCTAGTTTGCAAACTTATAGCTTGTTAATTGTGAGGCGTTTTTAAAAGGTTATAATGAACTTTATAACCCTATTTCACTCTTATATTTTTTGGCATCACTTAATATTATTGGTGGAAAATTTATTTAAAAACCGACTTGACGATGTTTGTATTTCTTTTTTTAGAAACCATGGGCTTTGTTCTACCTCAGATGATTTTCACAGTTCTTTATTAGTCCCCTACCGGTGAAACCGGAGGGGACTATAAGTTTCCTCTGAGTCTGTCCGTCCGTCCGTCCGTCTAGCTGTCCGTCTGTCCCTCCCTCTGTCTGTCAGTCTGTCCCACTTGGTTTTCCGCACTTTTTTCCTAAACGCTTGCAGATATTGAGCTGATTTTTGGTATGTGAGTGTATCTTGATGAGTTACAGATCAAGTTTGCATTTCGTTCTGCTTCATTGATTTATGACAGAATTACGACCTTTCCAATTTTTAAGGGTTTTCCGCGATTTTTTTCTAAACGCTTGGAGATTTTGAGCTGATTTTTGGTATGTGACTTTTCCTTGATTACTTATAGATCAAGTTTGAACTTCGTTTCACTTCAATGATTTTTGACAGAATTATGGCATTTTCAATTTTTAACGGGAACCAGATTACACTTGCCGGTAGGGGACTAGTATTGCTAATGCAATACTCTCAGAATGCTTGTTTCATATAGCGATGCATTTTTTTTGCACAATCTTAAATGATTCTTCGTTAAGCATTTGGTTGTAATTGGACAATTGGTTCCAGAAAAGTTAAAAACAAGACTGAGAACAGACGAAAGGGAAGATAGAAAAACGCAGGACATATTTTAATCAGACATGATCCTTTGAATCAGAGGAGTCAAACCTAGTGATTTTAACAGGGAAAAAGTTGTTTTCCCAGAATTATCTCTCCAGGTTAAATTTGCTCCAGCACGTACGATATCTTCTATTGTCTTCCGGTCTGCGTTATTTTCAAATGCCAACATCAGAACTGACTGTCCATTTTCATCGTATACATCATTTGCATTTCCTCCTCTTTTAAGTAAATTCGGAACAAGAGATGGCATTTGCATTGCTGAAAGGCAGGTACAACTGATAGTTCCTAGTGAGGCACATTTACTAACAAACATAATGTCGGCTCCCTCTCGAATAAGATAATCTGCAAGTCGCTTCTTTCGATGTTCGATTGCTTGAAAAAGTAGAGATACGCCTTGCGGTGGTACCATTGTTTTATTAATGTCAACTTTTCCAAATACTAGTAATTCACTTATAACTTCGATTATATTTGCCTCAGACCAGTTGGACAAACAATCCCAAAATTCACTATTAAGTACAGTTGTACTTTTGCCAAATTCCTCCAGAGTTAGAAAAAACTTCACAACCTCAGTTTGTTCAGCTTTGCAAGCGACATGGAACATGTTATGACGTTTTGCTAGGTTAAGACATTTTGCACCTCGTTCCTGTACTATGAAGCGGAGTCCGTCAACAAAACCTAGTTCTGATGCCATATGGACGATTGCCTTAACATCCCTAGATGTTATGTGCACACCTTCATACCACGTCTTTCGAAAAATGTCCATATTTTTATCACATATAGATCTGTGAAATCTATCCATCTTTGTCTGTGTGCTCATTTTAAAGTTGTTCACACAGTAAACATCTTCACATTGTTAACACCTTTGTATGAATGCACCTGAATGCACTGAAGTATTGATTGCCTCTCTACCAGTTTAGCATAATTATTTAAACACCCCGTGAAAATTTCTATTCAATCTGCTCGTTGGCCCATGGCAATGCCATTCAGTCTGAGCATATTACGCAGTCAATAAAGGAACTTGATATTCTGCGTAGTTTCCCTCCATCCTGACCTGCAGCTGCACAAATTTTTGAGTATGCTATCATCTAAGATACATTGCATGCTGATACAGGGCCCCTCTACTTCAAAAAGAATTGCATACATTGTCAGGTAGAGCAGATTCGAGTATCAAATCAGACTCCATAGGGAAGGATTTGGCCACATTATAAAGATGATATAAGTCACTTAAATATTCCAGCAGATTCGAAAAGTACAGATTCAAGTCCAAGACAATGCCCCTTTTGGTAGGGATGGCCACATTAAAAAATCCAAGAAAAGCTGAGCCTCCAAAAATCATATTGATATGCACATATTCCAAAGCTGTATGAATTCATTTTTTTTTTTTTTTTTTTTTGAATAATTGACATCATTTTTAGGGTGGGGCTAACATTCTTGATCAAAATTTACATATTGCAAGTATACAGAAAAAAAAGTTTTTGAAAAATCTTTTGACACCTACAGTACTCCTCCATGGCACCTGATCCCACTTTGATGTTTTAAAAGGTCCGTGTTTGCTCAATTCCAGATTTGTAATGTTCCAATGATATATTAAGCTTGATTTCTAATTGTTATCTTCAAATGGGTGAATTAAAAAAATGATCATGCACATATTTTTCAACCTACACTTAAAGTACAAGCAATGGGAATACATTTCTTTGTCTCAGCATATGTCTTTAGATAGTGTCTAAATATACCTACCAAATATCTCAGTTCATAAAAAAGTTATGCCAAAAAATGATGCTAAAATATAAGGAGTGCAACACCTTTTTGTGACATTTTGAAAATTTTATATTTTTAGAAGGTCTGTGAAATAAATAATAATGGTTAATGCTGGAAATAAAGACTTTCCTGATAATATTCAAAGTTAAATGTAGACTGTAGTAACTTTTGTTTGACCAAGATGTGGTCATGGCTGATGTTGATGTTATACCATGTCAGGAGCGCAACAGAAAAAAATGTAGTGTTGCCAAAAAACATCGATTTTTTTAAAAATCTGAAAGCCAATTAAGTCAAAAAAGAATTTTCAAAGTTTAAAACAATAACTGATATACAATTTAAAACTTTAAAATATTATAGAAATCAAAAGCAGCATTAATGAGAGTCAAGTATCTGTGCATACCCAATAATGTCAGGAGTGCAACATTTGATGTTTTGTTCCCTAGCATGAAAAAAACTTTTATCACTCTATGATTCTCGGATTTTATTTTGGAAAATAACGACATAAAAAAACATTTTTACCAAATAGATTTATCAATTACTTGGTTTGTCTGTGTTTCAGATCTATATTTCTACGGTCAGGAGTGCAACATATATTTTTAAAGATTCAAGTTATGTGGTGCAAAGACTTCTACTCATGCTAAGAAATATTCTTTGATTAATAATGATCTATTTGAATGATTTAGTACTAAGTTATTGACTGTCTTATTATTAAAATCCTTCTCTTTTATAATTTTATCAATTCAGATGTGGGTTTTTTTTTTACCTTTTCTTTGATTTTTCTTAAGAATGTGAAAAAATAAGACACTAAAAATTGTTATAAAGTTCATGTAATTCCACCTCAACTTCGCTGAAACAAAAGAACAAGTTCTAATATAATTTTCTACTTTAAAGACTCCAAAGTGCAAAAAGATGTTAGAATTATTGCTGATCAAGTATGAATAAATGTATTATAATATATATATATATATAAAGAAAAAATTGATGAGTAGAACGTTTCTGGTTGATCTCAGTTGCTTACAGTGTTTGCCCTGTGATGGAAAATATACTATAAAATATATTTTATCTTCTACATATATATTTTAGCAAATTTTTTTTACATAAATATGGAATAATTCAAGATATAAAGCCAAGTTTTAATACTTTCATGTGTTTTAATTATGAAGTATTGGACTATAAATATTGCAGTTTTGTTACCACTTGATGTTGGCAACACATTATGAATTTTTGTGTTTTATGGTTTTAATTTTACTGCAGTCAGGAGTGCAACAAAACTGTTTTACAATTATCAATGATCTTCATCTATCCTTAGTAAAAAAATAAGTGAAAAAAAAATGTTCGATACTGTTTGATGTTCAAAACATTACGTCTATAAACTAATTAAGGACATTTTACAGTCAATTCAGAAAATAGTTTTCATCACTTAACATATTTTTTCAAATACAATGTATACGAGGTTTAAGTCCTTACTTAACTCCAGGTAATCTCATCAAGATAAGTGTATGAGGTAGAGAGAGCGGACATTAAGAAACAATGACGTTAAGCGGACGTCATGACACTAAACGGCGACAGCGCCGGGTGATCACATAAAGTATTTTTAATTTTAGAATAATTTGGCAAATTATCAACGTATCAAGCTAAAATTTTCAACATTTCTTAAACTTTTGTTGTTTTATGTTCCGCATAAATTTTGTAAGCAAAGACTACATATTATTAATTTTATCGCGTCAGTCCACGAACTTTTTGATAACCCCTCGTATATATTACACATTGCAAATAGTCATGTTTTGAAGTCTTGATATGAAAAACTTGCCGTAAATGATAAAAAATATCAAAACAGCAAACTGATTTACAAACTAAGAATGGATTATTGTGTTATAATTTTTAAAAACAAAGTTAAATACCGGTAAAATCGGATACAGGAGTGCAACGCAATAATGTAATACATGTATAGGGTCACTTCAAACCAGAATTGAAAAAAAATAATGTAAAATAACAATCAAAAAGCCAATTCTTTTCCACATATGCAAGAGAAGAAACTCAATCAAGGTTTAGATATAATCACTTATATCCCTGATACCATTTTGAAGAATAGAAAACTAAAAAATTTTTTGGTTATGTATTTTAGAAAATATTTCAGAACAAAGTGATATTTTCTTCTTTCAAAAAAAAAACACTAAAAAAAAATTCTGAAACTTTTTAATTTAATTGTCTATTCTATTGCAATTGTAACTAGAATGCATGTACAATATGATGATATATGTGAAAAATATGTTATGGGTAGATGAATGTTTTCAAAAAATTTCAATTTGGTGGTCATTTTTTTTTAATTCACCAAAAATGTCCAATGCAGCACCTCGAGAAACTTTATATCCCTCAATGCCTCATTCAAGGTAAGGGTGACAGCTACATCAGAAAGATATTCAGTCTTGGTGGAAGGATGCCTGTGATATAAGCTCTCCTCAACTTCAAACAATGTTAGATGAGATACAAATTTTGTAAAAATTTAATCAGATCTGTCAGACTACAAATATAGTCACTGAATTATTCTACAAAGACCTCAAGATGTGGACTGCCATCTAAAAGTAACAAGAGTACTTTTATTTTTTTTATTCGAATTTAGGATATTGACTAAATAAAGGAATGAAATCAAATGTATAAAGCATAAAAATCACAGCTAGTCATAACAATTTAATGAATGTAACAAAATAAAACTGGAAGGAACTTCTAGATATCATTTACTCTGGAATACCATTAACTACAGAATAACAATTGGCAATTTAAAAATTCTCCTTTTTCCTAAGTTAGTCACCAAATATTTATGAAGCATATGATTTTTGTAACATTAACAAATACATCCATAATACTTGATGGAGATTCTTCTACCACGAGGACTTCCAAAGCTGAGTATTTTCAGTCCCCTTAAATAAAATCACATCCATTTTATCACGACTGAGATACGATAAAAGCTTTTTCTTCTATGCCAAATATTTTCACACTTTTCTTGACTCTTGAAATGCTGTCCTTCGGTGAAGATTAATCATCGTGACACAACCCTTATACTGGGGTCACATCCTCGGACCATGAAGTCAGGTTCAGGTTTAATGTAAACATTATTGTACAGCTCTTCTAAGGGAATCTCTGGGTCATTTTTGGCCTGTTCTGCTGCCTTGTCAATTTCTTTCTTTATTTCCTGATCAATTTTCTACAAAAAATAAACCCAAAAGAAAACTGGTTACATAGATGGTAAATATTTCCAAACACCAGACATACTTGAAGGAGAAAGAATAATGTTAATTAAGTTAAAAACATCTGATATCAGCTAGGGATTCTATACAAGGGCAGTACTTATCTTTTTGTACATTATGTAGATGTACATGTACAAAACTTATAATGACAACTGTGGGGAGAAGCCTTATAAATACAATTCTTTATTTACATTCACTAATAATAAAACTCAATAATAGGTATTTATAAAACAAAGATAACACTTATATTAAGAAACAACACCAAAACAATAATTATTTGCCTAAATAAATGAATACATCAGAACAATAGAAACACTTTACCAATGTATATGAACATATATGTAGTTCTCTCATCAAGAAGGGTACCAACTGAGTAGCCTTACCTTTAATTCCTCTGGAGTAACAAGGTTGTTGTCTGTTATTTTACGCTTGAATACAGTTATAGGGTCCCTAGTTTCACGAATTTCTTTAATCTCCTCACGAGGTCGATAACTGCATGAAAAAAATGCAATCTGACTTTAAAACTGAAATAATTGACTTTCAAAATTTAATGGAATCACACAAGAACTATATGAAAATTTTCAAATTACTGTAAACATACTTTTTTCCACTAGGGTCATAATTCAGCTGAATCACAATTTCTGTTCAATTTGTGGGTCAAAAATTATCCAGATTTCCTAGATTTCCACTATATGCTTTAATATACTTTAAGTACACTGGGACAAATTTTTGTGGAAAATTTGTGACCATATACATCACATTATTAATCATGGGAAAAAGTACTAATTTGATTTTGAATGCAAATAATATTTGAAAACCATATTGAAACTCTTGTCTCTGTCAAAGCTTAAAGTACATATGCACCTAGTTCCTGGGTCACTCATACTGTGCCCATGGTAACGGTAGGTTGCTGCCTCTATTAGAATAGGTCCATTATGAAGTGCATAGTCCCTTGCAAACTTTGTTGCTTCCCTCACTGCTAATACATCCATACCATCCACCTAGAAAAAATAAGTATAAATACTTAATAAAATTAAAAGCAATGCAATCCAATTTCAATCTTGGATGCTGAAATTTGACAAACATGACCTTGGAATTCAATTAGATATTTCTCCATCTTGTTCTATTCAAAATATAAATAAATATAATGTTTGGGCTCATTCTAGTTGTATTTCTTCAATGTGTGTGAGGTTAATGTACCTTTTACTGTTCAAATTTGGATAAGATTCAATGAATAAAAATTGACACATACTGAATAAAAATCTAAGTTAGTCTTTAAACAGGTCTAAATGTAATTACATGTAAATATAATGCAATTTTTCCTTCAGTGATAAAAACTTTTAAAAATGGAGATTCACAGAACTTGATACTAACTGTTTCTTTCTTTTTTTTATTTTTCCCCCCTCAATTCAAACTTATATGAACATATTACACTTACTCTCATTCCTGGAACATAGTCTCCCCTGGTGTAGTAATCTGTGCTGGCTGATGCCCTCTCTACACTTGTTCCCATACCATAACCATTGTTCTCACAGACAAACACACAGGGGAGGTCCCACAACTTAGCCATGTTGAACGCCTCAAACAGCTGTCCCTGATTGGCTGCTCCATCTCCATACAAGGTCACACAGATGTTTGGCTGATTGTTATACTTCAAGGCAAAGGCAATTCCAGCTCCTAGGGGTACCTATGTCAGAGGCATTTCTCATATAATTATTCATTAATTTTGGAGCACTGAAACCTTTTTCGATAAAAAAAAAGTGATCTACTTGTATGTCAAACAAAATACTTTACCAGCATTAAAATTTTTTTAAAATATTTGTCTTGAATAATCTTCCATGGTGCTATAAGCATTTTCCCTTTTTAATTTTCGAGTGCAAAATGCACATTCCTCTCTTATGACTTAATGAATCAGAATAAATATCATATTAGTTTTTTTTCTGTTTGGAGGAAATAATAGGCACATAAACTTCAATGTTTTTAAAAGATTTACTTCTTTTAGGTTTACAGAATTACTTAAAAAATTAATGTTAAAATGTAGCCACTTATTTTGATTCCAATTTATATCAAAGAAAGTTAAGACAATGTTCTCAATAATTTCAGTCTGCATAATACCGGGCATATGTACTGATCAGTTTAACAAATTATCATGATTATAGCCATGTTGATCTTCATGGAAATTTTTGGATGTAGCTGATATGACATATAAATAAGGACTCTCCCATACATATTCTAATGCAAAACTTTTAACCCTTGGACTAGAACAACCAATGATATTTTATAGATCTGTTTTATCTACAAGAGAATTTGAAAAGTTTTCCCTAATATTCCTATGAAAAACTCAGAAAATAAATATGGCCCAATCTAGTTAACTTGGTCATTATATAATATATATGATAAAACAATTTTACCTGTGCTCCAACTATACCATTTCCTCCATAAAAGTTCTTGGTGTACATGTGCATGGAGCCTCCCTTACCCTTGGCACAACCAGAGGCACGACCTTAGAGAAAAGGAGAATTCATATTATTGTACACGTAGTAGTTCAGTGCTTCTATGAAAATGCACGAATGTTAACATTTTAATTATATCACTACTTTATATTTAATTATATAAAAATTGTGCATTCATAACAAATCAATGGCCTTTTATATTTCATTTTTAATAAAAATCTTTTAGTCAATCATTACTGCAATTTATATACAATATCATGTAAACATTTTAAAATGTGTTTAATGCATGAATAACTTACACCTGAAACATAACTGATACATTCTATATAGATGTACATATTTGTTAGTTAAAAAAGTGTTTCAGACTAAAAAGCTTATTATCATGAATTTGGTAATAGATCAGAACAATAGATTTGGAAATAAATTAAGAGAAGATCTGCACTCTGAAATATGAAAACAAGGGCCCAGCAAAGCTGAGCATCTCCTCACAATATATCTACAATTACAAATGACAGTTTCTAAAACAAAGACTCTGTATGGGCTTCACACAATGATGAATATCAATCATTGCCCTTGACCTTTTGACCCTTGGATTAAGGAAGTATGAGACAGTTGAATCAAGTGATACTTTTAAATGAATTGTGTGGACAACTTTCTTTACAGATATGAAAGTCCTCAACCTTCATCTTTTAATTCTTAATTTTTTTCCCTGTCATGAATCATCTCTGTAGATAGTTTGAGACAAAAATGTCAAATGATACTCTACATATTATGTTATGACTCACTGAACCTTGATCTTAGACCTTTGACTTTCGACCCTATATTGAAAAGGCAAGTTCCTCTGGTCAATATCTTCCTCTGTAACAAGCAGGAGCTAAAGGTCTAAAGCTGTCCACAACATTGGAAAGAAAATACAAATGTATCTTCATTATGACCTTGACCTTTTGACCCTCAATTGAGTATGTTTGTATCCTGGTCACCTTCCTCTTTAACAAATCTGATTTAAGTTCCAATAACTACATATCATGTTCACTACACTATTCATAACTTACAATAACTTTGACCTTGACCTTTTGACCTTCCAATAAACAGGCATATTTCTTTAGTCCTATGTAGCATGTGGTCCAATGATATTCTAAATATGTGCCCATAACATTTATATAAAAAAAATACCATGACTTTGTTTTGAATATTGACCTTTTGTTCCTCAAATGACTAGGTTTGTACATCTGTCTGTAGCAAGTTTGAAAGTGAAAGCTGAATAACTTCCATGTGAGAGAATAATACCACTATGTCAACCATGGACTTTAAGTGGATTGAGTTTAATATATTTGATAAACTATGAACAAACATCACTGGTAAGTAAAACCCTAAATCTATAAACTTACTGTGGAAGATAAAACAAAAATCAACAATTTCAAAAGTTAAATGTGAAACTCAAATTATATAAAATGGACAAGAATTTGAAATTCATGCAGTATCCTTGGCAGCTGATGGTAGGAAATCACGCTGGTCTACCTGTTAACTCCCCCAGAATTCCATGTACTGGTACACCCCTCATAAATGTCCAGCCATGGGCTCTGTAGGCTGTGATCACAGCGTCCTCCTTAGTTATACTAGACTCCATACCTACACACACCGCTTCCTAAAATCAAGTCCCACATTGTATATAATAACATCACTTTTGTTAATCCATGAGGCAGTGAGGCCACATAGGGGTTACATGATTGAGCTGCTGGTTGGCAAGGCACTAAGTTATAACAAATATTACAGCAGCACAGGAGCAGGAAGAGTAGCTGAAAATGTTCTTTTGTCAAAGAATGCAGATGCTAACTATAGGCTTACAGGCTTAACTTTAAAACAAAGAACAAAACATCTATACAAAGTCAGGCTTCTTTCACAACATAATCCTTATTGCTCTACATACCACATCAACATCTTAACAGTTACCTGACTCACAACATCTATGATATATAAATGTTTAAACATTTCCCCTTCATATTTTCTAACTTTTCCTTTTCTGTTTTTTTTAAGACAAAGCCACACAAAAATTTGTTAGCAAAGTAATGTGCCCAGAAGATATTATGAAAGCAAAGGACAGATTCACACTACAACACAGCAAAATCCAAACAAAAAAATGTTAGTACTGATGTTTAAACACCATATACACACATGTACTACATGTAAAGATTATCCAAATAATTCATGCAAAATATCAGTTTTATAATGAGTGAGATAAAATCATTTCTCAGTGACATTGAATACATGAGAGTGAAGTGTTAAAACAGTCACACTTAGTCACACTGCTATCAACATAAGAGAACCACAACCCTTAAACTGGGAGGCAGAGTGATCTCCCTTGTACTACCTGTCAGTTCAGCCAACACCCCTAGGACACTGATGCCCCTAATGTATGTCCAACCATGGGCCCGGTATGCGGTAATTACGGCATCATCAGGAGTAATGGCGGCCTCCATGCCAACACAACATGCTTCCTGTATTTACATAGTGGACATGAACCATTTTCAGTGATTTCACACTTTCACATTTAAATCTTAAAAAATGTCAATTATCCATGATAAATGCTGGGAAAAACATTTTAATTTATGTTAAGTTGTTTATCTTATCACTCTGGATTTTTCCAGTTTTAACCAAAAAACCCCCTTCCCCCCACCCTGCCTAACTCGCTCTCTGTGCCAGGGTTATTCACAAAAATGACTTGATCAAACATATCTTACAGCATAAAGCATTCAGAGAAAATAAGCAAGGATGTATACATATGCATCTTCATGCAGAAATTCATTTCATAAAAACTTTAAATCAACAAGCAAACAGTTAATCTAATATCAAAGTTTATAACCAGAAATGCTTTCAGTCCTCACTACTAGGCATTGCAAAATCATACATACAATTAAAAACAACATCCAAACAATTATTTTAGATCATATATAACCATCCGTTTCATGTTTTATCAGAAATACTTTAAAAATATTTAAGTAACGAAATTAAAATATATTATACTTAAAAACAGTGTTTTTCTTTCAATTGATTCTCAAAATAATAAATGAGTATATAATTGCATTTCCTTTCTACTTACTTGTCCGGAATACAGATGACAGAAACCACGGATGTGTTTGGATTTGTACAGACTTCCGGCCATTGTCTCCATTCGCCGTACCGTCACCATGTCCTTATAAAACTTAACAGCATCCTCCCTGGTTATAGTGGCTTGGTTTGGGGGACCATGTTCTAATTTGTGAAGGAGACAGGGCTGTAATTTAAAATTAATATTGTTCACTTTCTATTAAATAAAAAATACATCCAGTTGAACAATTCCATGAATAATTTTATTTGAATGGCACAGGACATAACTTCAGTATTTTTTTTTTTCAAAGCTGTTGTCGATTACTCTTAACCTTTGTACAATTAATAGAAAATATCACTGCTAAGATGCTTTCAACCACTGATTTATGAAGTTTCCCACTGACCCAGCTTTTTGTAATAGTGTGATGCTTGTTCCAAAGGTCAAGGCCCTCTAACCTTAATCCAAGAGGCCCTTGTCCTTGTTCAAAATGACCCTGGTAATGAGTCAAGGCACCCACCCTTGTTACAAGCTACGTGAACAGCCTTTAAGTTTCCCAGTTTTAAAATTATGCCCCGACAAGAATTTTGCTCTTCTTATTCACTTCACACAAGTAATACAATGAAATCTTTACCAAAAAAGAGTATTATATCAGAAAATACCACACAGACATGTTCAAATAATTTGTACTATTTCTACAAAGTTTGACCAAAACAGAAATTTTTATTTAAAGTTTCCTAGATAGTGTTGTATCTACATTGAGAAAAATAAAATCATTCATTCCTGAATGCTATATTGTCATTTAGTACAAAAATATTTACTCTCATGAAGCTTATTGGTAAATAGGATACTTTTCATAGTTTTTTTTTCTTTCTTTTACACAGTTCTTTTGTTGCAACTTCTGACAAACATGACAAACCTGAATATCTAGGGTGGCTTCTGGCACCGTGGAGTATTTGCAGCCATTGATTGCAGAGACACTCTAGAGAGAAAAAAATATACTAAGTCATAACAAGACCTCAGTGTATTGTTAATAAATGTAAATCTGAAAACTAAGTCATTGATGACAATCTTCTTCCTGAAAGTCAGAAAATGAAAGTGTTTATGAATGAATTATTGCACAATAGTCAACACATCATAATCACCATGACACTCCTAACCATTTGTCTGTCACTTTTGTTTTACAGAGAATTTTTTATTGAACTCTGCAATTACTAAACATTAATAATGTAAAAGAGCTATATTACAATGTCACCTAGGAAAACATATTTGAAAATTATTTGAACTTGTATGCAAATATTATATATAATGTTATTCTCCAACTGTGTATATTGTAATATACTGTTTAATATGACTAGTAAATATAATGTACATCTTTCAGTTTCACCGCTTCACTGTATGTAAATTTGAACTTTTAACAATTAACACAATATAATACGTATCTTGTAAAATATGCCATAAAATTTTACGTCTTGATCAACTGAAAATTGACAAAAAATTATATTCAATGTATTGAGTATTAGTTCATTTTTGTACATATACATCATAAACAAGTTTAAAATCAAGATTTTGTGTCACAGGATTTCAATCCATTTCCTCATACATGCGTGTAATTAGTTGTTACCTTTAAACAGAGAAAATTATGTTTTTTTAATAGAAAAAGGTTTTATTTTTTAAATAAACCATCTGATGTAAATGTACACTGTAGCTGCAGCTAGATCAAAATTTAGTTATGGGAAATTAGATTCTTTCGATCTAAGAGTTGCATGGGGCTTCTACCATAAGAAAATCTTGTTTAAATACATTTTCAATGAGGATTTTGTCCAGAATATAATGATTTCATCACCTACCTCTCATTATTTATTTCCTAGTTGGTAACATGACATAACAATGAAGCACATTGAAGTGGTAAAATTCTCAGCTAAAATGGAACGTTTTGAGCTTTCTTTAAAACATTGATTGTCACATAATGACACGCCTATTTCTTTAGAAAAGAAAAACAATGGTTATTAATAAATGGTTCATTCGAATACCTGTAGAACAGGTATTCCATAAATATAATAGCCAATCAAATTTTGATGGTCTACTTAAACACTGAGTAAACGTGTGTTCGACCAATACACGTGTTGTGGTAACTTTAGTAATTAAAACATGATAAATTCATAATTATGTATATATTCGTTGCAATACGTGTTTTACAGAAGCGGGGTCTCTAATTCTCTCTTCTAACTTTATAACACCTCCATTTCAGTGTAACTGATGTTACTAGTCGCAGAGAGTGGGGTGTCCTAAAGCATTACAACAAATATTTCTTTCTCATTTCTAAAGAAATTGGCATGTCATTATGTAGCAATTGATGCTCGATAAGAAACGCCCAAACTTTTCACTCAGATGCAAAATTTTACCACTTCATTGTAACAATTAATTTAAGTTACAAACAACTCTCAGTTTTTAACCATTCATTTGAAAGAAAAGTTTCAATTTTATAGACATTCATTTTTTTCCAAGAAAAGCAATAGAATCATTTGGAAGGTGTGTGCCAAAATAGTGGCTATACTTTCAAAGTAGCCACTCCCCAGTCAAACTTATGTCCCAACTCTCCCTCAAATAGCATTTATGCTGCAGGGCCTTCAGGCCTGCTATGTATTAAGACCCAGCTCAGTGTCATCAGAGACCTATATACTAACGGGATAGGCAACTCCTTCAGCACCATGTTTATTTACCCAACACGGCACACACAACACTGCAAGTTTTTCAAACTACGTTTTTTCCCAGTAAAAAGCTTGTTTTCTGATCAATTTAATCTGTTCTTTTTGTGTATCGGAATAGATATTTAATAAATTTTAAAGCACATATTATAAAATAATTTAGATATTAAGTAAACAACCACCATAATCGGCAATTTCTCAGAAATACGGCTGATTAGGGGCACGCACTGATTTTTAAATAAACGTAATTACTACCAAGATAAGGTATAAAAACAGTGCTAAAACAAATCTAGAATAATTTTTTGATAGATAAATTAAGATTTTATTCTGAAATATTTGATAGCAAAAGAGATATATTTAATTAAAATTGACTTACGAAATCCCGCAACTTACGAGATATCGCGAGACTTGCGAGAGTTGCCTACCCCGTTAATATATAGGTCCCTGGTATCATATGGTCATTTTACAGTTGGATTTATGATATTGCAAAAATATCATTAATTGTTTCACAGATATGATAAGAAACAAAGATGTAACAGACACATAAAAATGATCAATGGTACTATATTTATTTGCATTCAGGAAAACTTGGGTAGACCCAAAATTTAAATCAAATAATTTTTTTGATAAATCTATTGAGTTTTCGTAACAATTATCAATAGCAAAAATATCTAGAATATGTGTACATATTTCGATAAAAACTTGTGCTTGATTTGTCACATATGTCTTATCTTATACATATAGTACACTGTAATCAGGTCTGGTACAATCACTAGATTTAGCTACGTAGCTTGAATTACCTACATAGCTTTATTTACCTACCTCGAGTAGCTTTATTTAGCTACTAAATCAAACTTATTTCTTAAAGCAGAATTTTTCCCAGAAAGTGCAGAAAATTGCACTTTGATGCAGTGATAATTTTCAACTTTGAACTCATCTGAAAACAATTCATGAAAAAATCACTCTTGGAGATATGTCTTTTTTTGCGCAATTGCAATCAAAGTTCTAAAAGTTTTGGGGCTATATACAACAGTTAATTTGTGACCTAACAGTTACTTCTTGAGTGTAATAACAAAGAAAACCAGTTTTGGTTAACATGAGCACAATGTGAAGTAATCATACTTATCCACGCCTCATCGCGCACAAGGTGTGTACAGTTACTCAAACAATGGGAATACATATTTTCCTTAAAAGTGATCAAAGGCAGCAATGTTAAAACTATCTCTGCTTTAGATTTTTTTTAAATGATACCTAGAATAAATATTAGTAGATATTTTCTTGCGACTTTTTGTCTTTTTAAAATAAAAAGCAAAATTGTGATAAGTTGCCTTTAAATAGCTAAATAAAGCTACCTGAGGTAGGTAAATAAAGCTACGGTAGGCAATTTTAGCTACGTAGCTAAATGTACTGATTGTACTGGACCTGGTAATTGATTTACAATATATGTTTCAATTAATAATAAAATAATTATCGCCATAGACTTATTAGAGAAAAGAATATTGTTGATTAGCTCAATCATGGCCTTCGGGCACTGAAAGTTAATGTAAATATATAATATGTACATGTATACCTGCGCATACTGTATATATTTACAACTTTCATTGCCCGTGAGCTCTGTGAACGTTAATTTACCATGGAAACATGGTGAAACCTGTGTGTATTGTATCTGTCATTTACGTGTATGCACTGTAAATTAATAAACCTTACCGATCCAACAAATGTTTTTACAGAAATACGTCTCAATGTTAACGAAAACATGATGAGAGTAAATTCTGCAAAGGTGACTCGAGCACTCAAAGCTGGTGAAGGTCACTTGGAGATTGTAGTAATAGATTACTCCGGTATGACTACTTTAATCCCGGAATGTCATGCACGCTGAGATATTGCTCGTCACACCGGTATCGATCGTTAAAAATAATATTTTATATATCGACAGAGGTACAATCTGTTAAACTGAATTGAAATGAGAAATAATATCATAAAAAAGAAATACAGGAATACAAGTACTGTAATCATGTTTAAAAAAAAATCAGGTGGGGCGTGTTGTACACGTCAGGTGCCCTTTACCTGTTTACACTTTTCATGTTCCGTCACATATCATTGTATCATTGTATCGATCATAGCTCAGGTCATAATTTATATTGTTTAATAGGACTTTTGATTCTTGCGTATCGAATCAAGCTGGAGACACAAACCCCATGCACAGATGATAATGGTCTATTTCGACATAAAATGGAAAGTTGGTGAAGATTAGAGACAAATCTGTAAAATTTGAGGTTTTCAGCACATCAATCGAGATGTGGACTCAAAACCGGCATTGTAATTTTCTGAAAGAGGCTTTCATAATTATGCCTAATGTAAATTACAAGTTCATTTATTGCGATGATAGAGATAAAAAAAAAATGTAGAAGAAAATTAATTAATATTTCGAAATCTCGAATTTAATATTTTCTAAACGTACTCAAACATGAAAATCAAGAGTAAGATATGATTAGAAACATTTTTTTTTTCAACTTGTAGTGATTTGGATCAACCGAAAAATGTATATTATAATTCATATCTAGAAATATTTTCAATAAAACGAAGGCTTGACACATTCATTGAAAAAAAAAATATTACAGAATATGCAGGTGATAAACTATTTCTTATAAACATTTACGTTTATTGTGTCAATTTCGTTTTATAGATAATGGATTTTAATGATAATGAGAATTCTGCATATTACATATACATTGTATTTTGCAGGAAGTACTTTAATTTAAAAATTGTTTTTGGAAATTTTCATAATGGCTGACTTCTGATATTTTTTTCCAGTTTTTATTATACATTTGTACGCATGGGTACATTCTTCGTTATTATCCTGGGTTTTTGTACCGAGACAACCAAGTATAATCAAACAAACATATTTTCTAGTATTTCCAAGACTAGACTGGATTGGAAATGTTAATTCATTTGAAAAAAAGAGACTATCAATTTCTGATAAATATTGTCAATAGTTTAATGTACACGTCATTGAATTAAATACTGTATGCTTTATACCGGCTATATTACATTATCATTTCTTGAATTCTGCATATCAACTTTTCTGCTATTCAAATACGAATAAACAGATATTTTATTATAATACATTTAGTTGAACATAATAAATTGGATTGAACACAAATAACTTTAACTTAGATAGCAAACTAAAGGGAAGAAGGTGGGGAAAGCATGGGTGATTATGCTTCTTTTCGATATTTTTGATGATTTATCCACAGCTTTACCAATATCAATGCATGTGTTATCTTAGTGGCCTCTGTTCTGGTTCCAAACAGGATCGTTATAGGTCCAATATCGTTTTCTGTTGCTATATGATATAAAATAATTCTTTTCTGATTTCGTTATAATTTTTACAATGCATTAAGTGTAATATTCTGCCTTTCCATGATTATGAATTCACAAGAGCAACGTGTGTTGTATGAAAATCTAAACAGTTTGATCTGACTGAAATTCTCTCTCTCTCTCTCTGGTCAAACGTGAGTTGAGTAATCTGTCTTCAGAAGAAAAATGGGTTTTTTTAGACATTCCATTTGGAAAGTATATTTTTGAAGGTGTTAACAATTTCTTTCATAATTAATGTCATATGTCATTGCTGAACAAATCTTTGTTCTTTGCATCTACGATATCACTGTGGAATGCCTTACCTTCTGAAGTACGGAAAGCTCTAGATATTATTAACACCTTAAAACACACTCACTAAAAAGGTAGCTCTAACTAAATATTTTCTTTGTGGAGACAAAAAACTCAATTCAATTTTTTCTAAAAGAGACACATTGTTTGTCTTACTCTCTGATAGGTTTAGACTTTCTGACAACACACACTGCTGTTGTGGATTCATGGATAAAAACTCAGAACATTACAACACTTAAAGCATTGTAAATATTTGATATCATAAGAGGTATACATGTAATAAAGTAAGATTGGAACCAGTAAAATACTGTTTGGGGACTAAAGGCTGGGCCCCCAAAATTATATCGATATTTTTAAAGCTGTGCTTTTCAAATGTTTCAAAAAAGAAACATAAACATAAACATTTTCATTTTCTAAAACTTACCCTTATCGTGTGCAATCTGTTGGAATAATTTGTGTCCAATACAATTGATTACGAGTGTGTTTTATCTTTCTTTCAATTTCCTTTTTTTTTAAATATACAAGTTCAAACATTCTGTACGATTCATGAGTAGATCTTTGTATATTCTGACAGATTTTGATTTTACAATTTAAATATATTTTTTAAAAAATATGTCAGATAGGACTTACTTATAACCAACATTTCAAAATATTTAAGTTCGGTAATAAACATGAACTGCTTTTTCTTAATCTTAAATTGTTTTATCTTGCTTTACACATTTTTTCCAACCTTCTACCTAACTTTTGCTGAAATTCGAATTTTCAATGAACTTAGAAAGGTTGTATATTGTCATGTAAAAAATAACAGAAATGATATCTATGAAGTCTGAGGGTAGTTTATGTCAGAGTAATATGTATTGTTTTAATGGACTTTGAGCTTTAATACTGTTCGTTATCTCCATATTTCATATAAAGCATTAAGTAATAAATGAGATCTATTCAGGCATGCAAGTTAGATTTCTTAATTCAAGGGTACAATAAATGCTTGTTTTTGAGTAAGCGTTTATAATTTCGAACAAACCTTACTATCCAATAGAGTATCCAATAAGGCCTTCTCTGATTATGTTAGCACTGCATTGTATCATAGCTGATCATACTCAATATAGTACAGGTACAAAGGGAGATTTTTTTTTTTTTTTTTTTTTGCCAGAAGTAAGTACTCTCTTTGCATCTTTTTTTTCAATCATGTTCTACATGACCTATATTAAATAAAAAATCGAGAAAAGAAAGGTCAACAGTGACATTCAATTTTCACCCAATCCATCGCGAAATCTAATAAATAAGTGTTGTTTTTACTCCAGGACTCGCCTTTCACGAAAATATCTGAAATATGCTAACCTTTCACAACTTTTTTTTTGTTACTAGGATAAGCATAGTCAAATTCTGTTAAAACACCTCCCAACCTCGACGAAAATAATGACGAAAATATATATATATATTATCAAAAAGCAGTTATAAACAAGAATTAAAAAAAATAGTTAGTAGAACGAAATGTTGCATAACGAGATATATATATATATACATATATATATATATATATATATATATATATATATATATATATATATATATATATATATATATATATATATATAATCCTTTTTACATATAAAGGCAAGTGTCATTTAAAAAATTCAATTTATATATTACAAATACATGCCTCTTTCATGACAATGGATTTTCAATTGAAATTTGTCAGCGTTCTAGAGAATCTGCCACTGTTATTTATCCAAAGAGTCTGTTGCTAAGGTGAAAAGAGGACATATCAAATTATCAATACAGAATTCTTGCTAACCAAGAGAACTAATGTGTCTGGACATTCACTTGTAATTAGGTTCACAAACCTCAGATACAAACTAGAATCTAATGGAAACATACAGACATCCAAAGGATTATTTTCCCCCAGGGCATATCAGAAAACATGGGTATTGTAATGGCTACTTCTAATCTTGTATTACTTTGGCCGAGTTCGTAAGAGAGAGAGAGAGAGAGACTGTTGAGCGTTAAAGATAAGTATTTTCCGAGTTATATTTAGAATTAATTCTTTCCTCAAAGATACAAACCTACAATTGTTTTCGTTTAAATTTATTCAGTAAAGAAAAATGTTCGTTCAACATGGATCAAACTTTGATTCTGATGATTTTTCCAGATTCAGCAGCTTTCAGATATAATTTTTATGATCTCTCATCTATACCCTGATGCTTCTAGTTTCTTTCGTGCTAAGCGATGCTGATTGGTAATTAAGTGATGATAGAAATTAGGGAGGTATGAAATGTCAATGACCGAAGTAGGCTACAGAAACTTACATTCATCTACTACATTGTAAATGTGAAAAATCTTCAAGCAATTCATTGCGACATTTAAGTCTTAAGATTGAAAAAAAAAACCATTATGTCATAATATCTGACAAATATTTTACTAATCTCCTTCTTTTTTTGCTGCATTTCATTAAGAGTTTTTTTTTTTTTTAATAAGTTTCAATATCTACAATCAGCTACAATTTACTATTCAATATGTACTTTATACCTGTATATTTCTGCAAATCAAATTTGATATATAACACTGCAGAATTTCTATGATTTAATTTGGTTTTTTCTTTCAGATAATTAATAGCACGCAAATATAAGGATTTTTTATTTCAGATTTTGTGGAAAAACTTCCCTCATGGATACATAAAAATTATGGAGTATAATGTAAAGTAATTTCTACAGAGAAGACAAACAGCTAGCATTTGAATATTCTGCCGAGGAAGGCATTCTTGAAAACAAGGAAGTGTGATTTTATTCTGATTGAGATCAATCAATAAAACTTGGCTCATGTGCAATACCCCGAAAATTTCAGACTGAAAGAAGCATTCCCACAGATTGTTTATCTTACAAATAAACGCTGTACATAAACTCATGTTTTGCAATTTAATGATCGAATATATCTCAAATGTAATATTTATAATGACATGTCAAATAAAAGAAAATGTTGTTAGAATTGAAATTAGAATAAATAACATTAACCAATCATGAAGATTTATCTATTTTAGATAAGCAGAAAAAAATATAAGATCGAGTTTCACTTATTATGTACATTTTCAAAGCAGTCATTTTAATTAATTATGTCCCAATAAAATTCAAATGATAAAATGTTTGAATATTGG